TTCCATTAACAATGCTAGTAATAGTCATGATAGCGCAGACATTTAGGCCTTTTTAAGTTTAAGCTGCTTCTTTTTTTCCATTGCAAATGGAGTGATTGCTTACTTTTGTAATGCTTTTTTTTTTTGCTAAATATCTTCTTTCTTTAGATGGACTATATCTCAATATGCTAATAGCTATATATTCTATTTACTATATGCTCCAACTTTGGTTTTTTGTATTATTTATAATTCTTTTACTTAGATTTTTTGTTTTTTTGTGAGGCTTACGCCTCAAACCGCCTCGAGGCTTACGTCTCGCCTCATAAAGAAAAAATGCTTCAATACTTAGTTCCACCTTTTTAAACCTTGCTGCCAATAACGAATGAGAAGATTGAACTATTGGGTGACTGACTTATCTCCTTGATGTAAGTCGTGAAGGACACCTTCAATCTCAAATGACTCAGCTGTATTCTCAAGATCTGAATATGTTTCTTTTGCTGCATTCCAAATTTCTGTTGCAGTTTCATAGAGAAGGAAATTTTCTCCAACATCATTGTTCATTGAATTGATCAGCCAAGACATCACCATATTATTTTCTGCCTTCCAACTTTTGAATTTTGGATCGTTGATTGTTGGAGATTTAGTAGTGCTAGTGAGATATTCATCCTTTCCCTTTCCACAAATAAACATCATGACGGATTGTGACCACTTTAAATAATTTTTTCCATTCAGTTTGTGCCCTGTAATGGGAAGATTATAGTTGTCCATGCTTAGCTGTTCGAAACCGTGACTTTCTCGGTAGCCATTCCGAAGGCTAGGCCGTATTTGGGCATAAAGAAAAAAGGGTTTCAAGAAAACTAAAACCGAGTGGAGAGGCAGAAATAATCCTTCTCTGATACCATGAAGCTTTTGGAGAGAAGGTTTCTATTTCTCTTATTCATCAATTGAAAAATACAGTTCTATATATACTAAATGCAGAGACAAATCTGCTGTAATAAAGCACAATAAAATCCCATGATTATGGGAGATAATCTCTCATAAAATCAGGGAATAAAATAAGGAAAAAGTAATTAAATTATCCTAGAATCAATCCACAAATTACAACAGGAACAGATTCAGGAATTGAAGTTTTAGCCAGGGACTATGTTCTTCTTTTGTTCAGCAAGAATCCACTAGTTAACAACTCACAAATACCTTAACGTCCTCAACTTGCTAAAGTAATGAAAGATGTCCTCAATGTAATTGCTGTTGAGAGAACCTCCTTTAGTGATTGGAAACTCAGAGAGCTTCCTGATCAAAGATTCAAAAAACTCAATCCAATGGTTGCAAAGCAACAAGAGGAAGAATGGGAATCCTTGGAAAAGAAGATAAATGATCTTCTTTTTGGAGGAATAAATGGACCTGCTACGAAGACTTTTTCAAAGTGTAATGTCATAAACAATCTGGCCACGTCAATGAGTTCCAGTAAAGTAGCTCTGAAAACTCCAAATGGGGCATCCTCAAGGACGTCAATGCCAGAAGAGACTCGAGAAGCTTTAATGAAGACCCTTCAGAAACTTTTCAAAAACATCAAGGTTTGCAGGTGAGATCACTTC